GTAGCTGGTGGGTTTGAACTACTGACCTTGCGATCAGCAGTCCAGTGCTTATCCTACAGTGCCACAGACAGGTGAAAGTAGAAATGACTAAACTGTGGACACTGTGGTTGAACACTGTTAACTGTTGTGTGCAGAAGTTGTGTTCAGGAATCATCTCTGTCCTGTCTAGTTCCCATTTGTGTATAGAGGGTTCTGTTCACAAAGAGAATTAATTTGGAGTTTTGTTAACTCTCATCTTTCCTGGTGTAAGGAAGGGAAGGGAAAAAGAGATTGTCGGTAGTGAGGTATACTCGCAAATACGATGAACATTTAAAAAATAGAAAGCATAAGATCTCTAAGATTTATGAATATAACATGCTCGATCCTGTAATTTGGTGAGCCTGGTGTCAAAGCTCTCTACATTAGAGTCAGCATGCTGCAGACCAAAGACATCAGGTTTCACATGATCCACATTAGGAGCACATGGGTGACAGTCAACAGCTCCGTTCTCCAATGGTGGGGAAGCTCTCAAGGCAGCCCCTTTCAGGCTTCCCTGCACTGTCACTTATAGACACTTACCATTAGCTGCCTTTATTGTCCATTCTTTTTTCAGAGGTAGATGGAAGGGACCAGAAAAGTTGTTAGGCTTTCTCATTCTCTTCCTTAAAACTGTTTTCAATGTTGTTTTCCCTAGTAGGCAGTGATGACCAGCAAGGCAAAGACTATTCTGACAGTGTGTTCTAACTTCTGCTCTTAGCTGCCATTCAGTTGGACAGGGAATAGGCAGTCTCTACACTGAGTCTACGTGCAGGTAAAAGAAGCAGAACATTGGGGCAACTAGTCAGATTCCCTGTCAATCCTGCCCCCATGTCTGGGGGATGTGTGGATTCTTGTAGGAGCCTGGTCCTCTGTGACAAAGCACAGGGGGAAAGGTCAGCAAGTCCCTGGAGGAGATGATGAGAGAGTTCCCTCTGTGACATGGCTCTTTAGTCTGCCCAGGGCTTTGTGACCCTCCCTGAAAGCCTAGTGCTTGCTGTATCCACTGTGCTCCCTGTCAAACAAGCATACGTGTTCCATGCGAAGTTTCTGGGTGATACAAAAAGGTAAGGCACTCAAATGCTAATCACAAGGCTGGAGGTGGGAGTCCACGCAGAGGCACTTTAGAAGAAAGGCTGGGCTTTCTACTTCAAAAATCAGTCATTGAAAACTCCATGAAACACATTTCCAATCAGACACATAAGGAAGGGGTTGCCGTGAGTTGGAATCAACTTCCAAGAAACCTGTTTTCTAACATGTTTGTACAGACTTCTGTTTTCCCCCTTTGTCCAATGCTACAGAATATCTTAGTATTTGTGTGAGTTGACATTGTTGTTGGGCCATTGCTTCCTCTGCACTAGAAACATATGTAAGACTTTTTTTTTTTGCCCCCTTCTATTTGAAAGCTCTGATCTTAACTCACCACCAATACAAAGAGATTTTTTTATTATAGGAGTGACTTTTGCCATGACTCACCATCCATACAAATGACTTGGTTGCTATAGAAACGTATGTATTAGAAAGGGGGCAGAAAATGATGGCACAGAATAGAGACATAAATAAAGTGGTGGGAATAAACCACTGTATATAGGAAGAGTGGCAATAAAATTTTTACTATCAGTTACTTGGGAAAACCTTTATATCTAAAGTGACCATACTAAGTTTCAGTAATAACAATAATAATAAAAGGATAGAAAGAAACATCCTCATTTTTTAAAATCTGAATTTGGATTTATCAGGTCTTTTAAAAGTGGGGATAAAAGTTCATTTTGAATGTTATTGTTTGGTTAAAATATAAAATGTATGCTCTCCTGAGACATATTTGTAAACATTCTGGTATCTTGTCAGTGGCACTTGACTGACTAGTGTCTGCATCTAACACAATTAGAAATTTCAGGAATAAGGTCTCTATTTAAACTTCTACTATGTTAGAGAATGACATGTTGGTTCAAGAGAGAATTTATCTGTTGGCTATGCTATCAATGACAATGTGGCCTCAGTTTTTTACCCTGTTACAAAATTCAAGATGTGTAAATATCAACCTGAGATAGTCAAACATATTATCATTCATTTATATTCATTAATGGCCTTAATCAACAAAGCAAGTCTTACCTACCACAAACAAATGGTTGGTCTTCGATGCAGAAGAATAAACATTAATGAATTCATCTTAATCGCTCTTCCTAGTTAAGAGCTGTTAGCATGTTTCTATCAGTTATGAGTGCGGTACATGAATTCATTATTGTTGTTGTTGTTAAGTGCTATTGAGTCAGTTCTGACTCATAGTAACCCTGTAGAGGGTTTCTGAGAAGTGGCTGGTGAGTTTGAACAGCTGATCTGTGGTTCAACTCAACCTTGAGGTCAAGTATTATATCTGATGGATCCGCACCAGTACTCCATTATATGTAAATATATATATTTACGGACCTGACTCCACGGCACTTAACAACAACAACATATATATATATATATATATATATATAAAATAACCATCAACAACCCTTCAGACATGGAAAATTCCAAACATATGAATCATGCCAAAGTGTTGTTGTTATGTGCCATGGAGTCAGTTCAGACTCATAGTGACCCTGTACAGGGTTTCTGAGGCTGTAAATCTTCAAGGGAGCAGAAAGCCTCACCTTTCTCCCACGGAACAGCTGGTAGTTTCGAACTGCTGACCTTGAGGTTAGCAGTCCGATTCATAACCTCTATGCTACCAGAGCCCCTTACGCCAAAGTGTAGCCACTGTGAAAATGCCTAAATCTGAAAGGAAGGTTGACAGGTTTTTAGATAGGATAATTCAGATATAGGCATAATAAAACCTAATACTGTTATTTTCTAATTAGCTAACAATTAAGTAGTGTTTCCTATTTACCATGTGTTGTTCTAAGCACATATATTATGCTCTTCATAATTAACCCACAAGCTAAGTATTATAATTATCTCTGTTTTTTGTAGATAAGAGCTTCAAAGCAGGGCGAGCTTAAGACACTCACACAAGGCTGTACAGTTAGAAAGTAACGATGCCTGAGTGAGAACTCAAGCGGCCTAGCTTCAGAGTCCTTGATCATAATCTGTTCATCCCAGTGCTTCAACCAGTAAAATTAAGTTACTCCAATATTAGCTTAAAACACATGGAACTCTAGAAGCTTCTTGTTCTTGTTTTGACTCAAACTCATTGTTCTTTCCATTTTTCCAGTTTCTGATTTACTGTCACTGATGTTGTACTGTAGGATAAACACTCGATCACCTGGTTGGTTTGAATTGCAAGGCTGGTGGTTCAAACTCACCAGCTGCTCCTCGGAAACCCTATGCAGGGTCGCTATGAGTCGGAACCAACTCGATGGCACTTAACAACAACAACTATATTAAATATAATACATCTCCTTATTGTTGAATGGAACTGCAGGTCAAAATCATCAACACAACACAGTTGTGTCCTATCTGCTGCGATGGTTACTATAGCATGAAGACATCATTTCCTGGTGTGAGTGTTGGCTGGTCTACTATACCAGCGGCATTGGTGAGAGATCCTCCTGGGAAGATGAATCTCTGACAAACAAGCTTAAAAGCTAAAAGGTTCAACCACTCTTTCTCACTAGAACATGTTCTCTTTAATACCAGCCTAGAAATAACTGGGTTTGATTTTATTTAAGTCACTTAAGGATGCCTATTATTTTTATGGTTAGCACGGGAAGAGACTCCAAATTCATTGTGTTTCTTTTATAGCAATCATAATCAGAGAGAACATACAGGACAAGACATATTCACACCTCTCTGGACTATGATTTGACTGGTCTGTTTGGAAAGGTATATGCTCTCTTCCTCCTATAGCTGTGCCATCAGCTAAGAGAATAAGATTTTCCCCAAGAGAAGAGGGAAAATTCAGGCATCATTTGTGCTTTTTCCCTGTTAAGCTATACTATCATCCTTTTCCTTAGACATATAACAAACTATCCAAAAGCAAGTATCCAACCACATCTTTCTAGTCCTGCTTTGTCTATACGGTGCTTGGCTGTCTTAGCAGATCATATTTCCAATAATCATTGTTGAAATTCCTAGAAAATAGGATGCTTGTTGTAAAATTGAGCATACTGTCATCCTTCCAAAGGCTGAAGTAAGCAATAAGATATGTACATCTTACAGCAGTGATTCTCAATGGGAGGTGGCAGGGACTTGGTTTCTGGGGAAAGTATTAGACTCCTGATGAATGGGATAGAATTTGAAAATACATGTTTAAACTTACCATGACTTCTACATTTTGATCATGAAATGTAGTTTCATATGAAATTTGTAATAACAATTTTTTGTAATAACATTTTTTTTTTAAAAGCCATGAGACTCTTCAAGAGGGGGTATAGGCTTTAGATTGCTTTAAAGTGAATAAGAAACTCAGAACAAAGATTTCGTGTCCAAAGCTACCTAGGCTATAAGAAAAGATTCTTAAATAATAAGAAGGAAAAAGCCAAAACAACAAATCTTTGATTATTTGAACAGATTGAATGAGCAAGGAAAAAAAAAAGTAGTAGGCAGAGGTTGTTTTAGCTAATTCAGGCTGAAATTCTATTCAGTGCAATCAGTAGCGTACACATAATGGGTATTATTTTAATGGTGTTTGCCACAGCGGTGAGTAATTATCATTTATCTGACTATTTACAACAAAACAAATAAAACAAAACAAATCCTGTTTCTACTGAGTTGACTCATAGCAACCCCATATGTGTAAGAATGTAACTGTGCTGCACAGAGTTTTCAAAGACTGATGTTTTAGAAGTAGATCACCGGGACTTTCATCAAAGATGCTACTGGGAGAACATGGACCTCTAAGTTTTCAGCTAGCACCAAGTGGGTCAACCATTTCTATTACCAGGGATTTGATTATTTAAGTACTGTAAAGCACACTTCCATTTGGGATCAATAGTTCAACCCTGCAATACCTATACATACTCTCCATACCAAACAGCATCAGCTACCATTTCACTTACGTGAACTTTTGAAGTCTTTCTTTTTCAGTCTCCTCCTCATCATGGTTCCACGTGGGCTAGTGGAGTAGAGGCTTCGAGGTAAAGTCCCCATGTTCAGGGAACTCAGGCTGTATGCACTCATGGAGGTAGGAGAGAAGGATGAAGACACCAACGCTGCTGTAAGAGAGTGAAGACTTGGCACAGAACATTCTCCGGCAGGTGTGAGACAATCAGTAACAATGTAGAGACACACAAGATGCACAGCAATGACTACCAAGTACCCCAAGCAGACAGAGACTAGGCTCAGGAACCAGGGAGACAGCATTTTAGAAACTCAGAGTTCAAAGAGACTGTAAATGCCTGAGGAACATGGGAAACTAACTGGAACACAGAGAAACTCCATGAATTTTGCTTTAGACTGAAAACAAACATTATAACAAATTCCTCAATAAACAACTCAATGCATCAGAAACACATGTTGTTTTTTCATAGCCATGTTCTTACATGAATCTCAGAAAGGGTCCCATATACACGAAGAAGATCTGAGAACATTAAACTCTACGTAACATCCTAAATTATAGTCTCCTGACCACATATAAAGCATTCTGAACATTAACATACTTTTCTGGCAACCAACACTCTCTGGTAGAAAAGAAGACTTAAGAGATGCCAGAAATGATCATTTGCTATTACGTAAAAAGCACACAACATGCACAAAGCCAAAGATGTAACAAATTAGATGAGGAAGGGGTGAGAAGAACAGAATTGAAATAAAAGAGCAGGAGGAGAAAGCCTGGAACATTACGAGGGCTGTTGGGAGGAGGCGCTTTCGGGAGCGTCAGGGCTGGTACTCTGCAGTGGTCAGCATGGTAGGGGTTAGACTGGTGGTAGGTGTGAAGGCTGCTGTGGTTGCTGGCCCAGGATTCCCACGTAAGTTGCCTGTCGCTCCTCTGAATTTTCACTGCCCATATGAAGTGATGATGAGGAAACAAAAACAAAACAAAGAACCAAAAAAAAAAAAAAGAAACAAAAAGGAAAAAGTAACTGAACCGCACAAATAAAAAGTGTAGGCAAATGAAAGTTGCTTGCAAAGAAAAAAAAAATCTATTTGGCTTTGCCTTTTCTCAGTGGTCAGCAAAACAGATGATTAACATCAGGAGTAGAAATTTTTCATCTTCCCAAGAATAATGCATGTCTTTCCTTAGTCCATTTTTCCCCCTCCTTTTAAGATGAGTACTGAATCAATTTCTAATCTCCCCTGTGCTTCGAAACAGAGATTAAAAACATTTTTTTTTTAAACTTAAAAGCCAACCCCATAAAGATGTATGGCACACATTAGTAATTAAAGATTTGCAAATTTTGGCTAGTTAGTAGCACTTGTTTAGAGAAAAAGAAAAGAAAGAACAATAAATCACATTGGCTTGTGAATCAAGTGGTTCACTAGTTACCCACCACACTTCACTGCTCAGACATTTTAATTACACTAAGATCCATCACTTGCATTTAATTTTCCTCAATAGTAGACCAGTCTCATCATCTATCATTATAAGAAACTTATCTTAACTAATAAGTAGGGTGAAATTACAATATATTTGATATATATTTTAGTATTCCTGAAAATGTTCTTTAAAATTGAAATACATATTTAACTTTGAAAATAGATCACATGTTCTTATGTTTCCTGAAGATACCATAAAATTTTAGGTTTATTTCCAAGTCTTGATGTTCCCTCCTTTTATTATAAATAAATCTTTATCATGATTCCATTCTTCGTGCAATGTTGTTAAGACACAATTTTCTACCCAGCATTCTGAAATATGACTAATATCATATTCATTACTCTGACATAAAATTTTTCATTTAGCAATCTTGAAGAGCTACAATCAACATATGAACACAATCTACTTCTAACTTCCTGACTCTTGATGTCCTATATGTAAATGATTTTACGGTGTTCATATTTATTCATATAGGGAGGTTGAACACTATCTATATTTTAAGGAGGATCATTTAGATGAGAGCATAGGTCATAACATACCAGGCTCACTGTCCACTGTCCACTTTCCTGCTATTCTTAGATGATTTAGGGAATGGAACAAGGGCATGGAACACATGTGGAGTGAGGAGGACCTGGGTTACACTTCTGGCAGCCATCCCTTTCTATGACCGAAGCCTGTTACTCAACTTCTCTACAGCTCAATTTCCTCATCTGTCAAATGGAAACCATGAAAGGACTTCTGCTATAAGAGATTATGCATACCAGGTTCTTAGCATGGTACGGTTACACAGAATAAATGCATATCAGCTACAAGTAACTTTGATTCTCCTGTGCTTCTCTGCACGGACTGACAAAGTATCTTCCAAAGGGAATAGCTAGCTATATCTGCCACTTAATGAATTTCACTCATTAGACACTGAGCTTTACAGAATATCTCAGAAATCCATGACGTACAAGGATACATCATGACAAAAAGAAAATGATGTAGAAGAGTATGCCTACCAAAAATGCTGAATGAAAATAATTTCTAAACTAGTAGAAAACTCTCCTTCTTTAGTACTGATATGTATCAGCAGAAGACATGGCTGTTCTTGTATTCCAAGTGGATAATCCCATTTCTTACATTTCCCAGCAAATATTGTAGTGAATATGATTTGTTGCCAAGTAAAATGTGGGAAAAACAGTATCTCCATCCACCCATGAGTTTAGAAACACACTCTTCAGTTATCAGAGTTTCTGAGAAAATTATTAGAACTTTCTTGTAGAAACAGTTAAAACTATGTAACCGTTCTGTTACAGACAAAATTAAAAGTTTTAAATTATATACACAATAAAATTTTCCCTTTTTTTTCATTCTTCAACTGTGATTTGCTTCTATTTAGGAGTCAATATTTATCTACTCTTAGACATGTAAGTCTAATTTTTACTTTCTAGAATGGTAGATAAAAAATGTGGTGTACAACTTTCAGCAAAAGTAGGTGTGGGTGGAGTCAAAAGTAGAAGAAAGGACAACTGAAACCATCAGGCCTTCTTCTCCAAGTGCCGTTGAATTTTCCATGGTGAAGAAAAGATTTGGCTCTCAATCCATACATTTAGCATGCAAATTTATCCTTTCAAAATGTAAAAACAATGAATATTTTATGAGCAGAAAACTATCTCAATTATTAATGCTATGTATATAGTTTAAGCAAAAGGAAAAAAAAAAGAATGAGGTTGTTCAAGGAAAGCACATTATAAAAGTATAAAAGAATTATGGAATCATAATCCCATGCAGAAAGTGTCAGTGCAAATATACAGTCCTATATGCACTGTGCTTCAAGTCCAATGATGACTTTAGATTAGTTGAGGGGACACTTACAGTTTTAGAAACCTCTACTCTCAGCCAATATGTGGGAAAGGCCCATGAGGCCTCCAGACAGGATGGGTATGCACACTGATGAACTGCATCTTCCTGGAGTTCCTTATCATTTCTATCCAAATGATGCTGAATTTCTTTTCATAACCTGCCTATGCTGCATCATTTCTCTACTCCAATGTGTAAAATTAAAATCTGATAAGGGTACTGCTGTACTAGAGATTTTCATTAGCTCCAGGGTTGTCTAAGCTCCATTTAATTAAAAAGGTTGCATTCAGCTGACTCATTCAGTATGAAAATTATCTGGGCCCTTCCCCCCACCCCCAAACTGTGTTATAGTAGGTCAGAGACATGTAATACAAATGACCTTCTCATAAGCAAAATTCCGATTCCAGAGAAAATTGCTCTCTGCCTAAATATACGCAAACATATTTTCCTCCTTTACAATACTAATGAGGCCCTCTGATTTTGAGGAATTAAACAAAAGAGAGGAGGGTGTACTTGATTTCACTGAAAGGAAAAACAAGAAGCTGGGACAAAATTTCCATTGGAGAACATTTCTTCATTTGATTTTGGGTTCGAATAAAAATGTGCCAGTTTGTGGTTAAAGATGTTTAAGCATGCCTGGGGCAGAGAGTATGTAAATGCTCAGCAAATATATTTGTGAGTTGCAAGGAGTCAAAAATGCAGATTCTCTTAGTTTGTACTTTTTATTAAATAAATGTCAAGTATTCTGATACACCCAAGCAAGATGCTTAGTTGGAATGAGAGTTGTTCTCCATTCTCCTTCCTCCTACCCCAAGCTATTTTGGAAAGCTGACAAAATATATAGAAAGTTGACCCTTCATAAAACTGTTTTTTTTTTTTTCTTCTTCTTCAGGTTATTTGCAGGGTCTGCTATTCGTAACTATCTCAGAGCTATTGTAAAAAATATATGCTTGAGAGCTGTATTATTTGCCTTTAATACCCTTCGTGTGGAGACAAAATTCAACATGAATACTTGAAATCAAATTAAGTCCCTTCTTTCCACATTCAATTTGTACCAAATGCTTTTTTTAAAAAAATATAAAATAGTACTAGTTTGAGAATTTTTTTAACCAACATGTATATATATATATATGTAGTAACCTTTCTTCAATTTGGGGTTTCAAATAAATTGCATGTGGCTTAGAAAAGGGGATTTGGCAGAAGAGTAAACAAAGATGATGTGTAATTTTAAAGAGAAATAAATAATATGGGCAGACGTAAATCAGTGCCTTTCTGCTTTCTAATTCTGCCGGCAGAAGCAGTGAGTGAAGGGAAAGTAAAGAGACTTTATCTAGACAGGTCTTCTCACCGTGTTCAGGTCCCTTCAGGGCCAGGCGAGTCTGGTGATGGGGAAGAATCTCTAGCTTGACCTGGTCGGTGGTGTTCGCCAGGAACTGGGTTGCTTCTGCTAGTGTACAGTACTCCATGCTAGTTCCATCAATAGACAGGATGTGATCTCCCACGTGCAGTGCTCCACATCTACAGAAAGGAGAAACGGTGCCTCAATGTGCCTTCCTGTTTGAAATATGATGCTCTAGACCTTCATTATTAATATCACACAGTTTTCAATTACTTAAAAGAAAAGCTCACGTGTTATAGGAGGAAACACCACCGGTCAAACTTTAAGTACTTTGGGTAGGAATAGGAATGTAAAACCTTGTAGAAAATCCAGAAAAATTCAGGAAAATGATTGTTTTCTCTATTTTTATAATATTAGTTTGGGGTGATGTTGGTATGCAGTGGAATCAATTCAGACACAGCAAGCCCTCTAAAGGGTTTTCAAGGCTGAAAATCTTTATTGGAGCAGAAAGCCTCATCTTTCTACTTTGGAGTGCTTGGTAGACTTGAACCGTGGTCCTTGCAGTTGGCATTAGCAGCCCAACACGTAGAATAACAGGAAAATATTTCCCCCAGGACTTTATTGTGGGTTTTTTTTTAACCCCTCTCTATGTTTCTATATTTATACGTATGCGTTGGTAAATAATCAGAATCCCAAGACATGAATCACAGAATTGGAATAGAGTAATTTACAATGATTTTCAATGTGAATGGCAATGACTTGGATGAGGAGGTATTCAGCTAATGCTTCCTCAGAAGCCTCTCACACAAGCTCCCAGATCACCAGCTCTTTAATATGATGTTTTACTTTGTTATTCTGGAGTTAAGCACTTATTAGTACAGAAGATCTCAATGATGATGGAAATTATGCATGAGTCATATGAGTAATGAACCCAGGCCTGCATGGTGAGTCAAGGGGAAAACTGAGGGGAGGGAAGGGGCGGGAGGCTAGCTGCTACATCTTGCTGAACTGGATGAGTTGAGAAAAGCAAACCCAGTAGTCAGCCTCCTGATGTACCAGTCAAGTGGACAGCTCCTTAAACTGGTTGCCCCTTGTGGAATGGGTGAGAAAAGAAAATGAAAGCACTTAAACCACAGAGCTGGAGACCACCCTTGGATCAGAGGCCGCCTCTTTAGGGGATTAAATGTAGGGTGAGCCCATGGTGAGCCCATAGTGGAGCTGCCCACTGACCATGACCCAGGGTTGCTACAAATCACTGCTTCCCAGTTGGAAGTTTACCAGGCAGGGTGAGGGTGGAGAAGAGGGCTGGAGACATGCAGGGTAGACTGATTGCTGGAGTACATATAAAAATGTCCGCACTTTGAACAGTTTATTTCTCAAGACCGTAGAGTCTCAAGTCCCCTTTTCCATGTAAAAAAAAAAAACATTTATGGTTGGTGCACTCAGGGTCTCCTGCTATGAGAGGTGGAGAGGTGAAGAGGCAAGGGTTTCTTATCAGGAGTTGTAAAGATGATTTATTAGGTGAGAAGGCAGTCTTTCCTTCCATCTACCTTAAATCCAAATTATTAATTAGGAAAAACATGTTTCAAGAAAAAGGAATTTTGATTTTTGTTTTCAATTGTTAAGAACCTTTAAAGGACCTTTGAAGATTATGGTGTACTTTTATTTTTTTATTTATTTAAACGTTTTATTGTGAATTATG